AGAGTATTTCTGAAGTACCCTTTTCACAGATTAAACACATCACCAGACACATTGATTAGAAAGTTCGGACAGGGAAGCTGGGCACATCAGAAAAGGAAACACCACCAGRTACTTTCCAATATTACCTTAAAGACATGCAAGGGCAAAAGGTTTTCCGTGCAGCCAGCCAGGGGATGGCAGCATTCAACCCACTATTCACTTGTTCCTGGCTGGAAAGCAGTTGTGTAGGTGAGCTGACTCTCATCAATAACRCATCGGTACCTAAGCAAAGAATATTTCAGCAGTGGAATTAGTTTCCCGAGTCACACATGCAATCACAGCAAACTGCAATAAGCAAGGCTGTATCACTGTTATTCACAAAACAAAACTCTGTAATTTCTTACTGTCCCTTGGAACAGGTTTCGTTTTTCTATTTCAGAATTAAATGCACTCTGAGGTTTGGGTTTTCCTATGGACTGTACAGCCTAGAGGTAGAGAGATATATAGTCTCAATAGGGAAAGCTATCTTAGCTTTTAAATTACTTAAGCASTACATAACATTCCTGGAACAACATTACCAAGCCTCACGCAGAAACATAGGCAAAAATATTCCTTTCATGTATTTAAACATGTTCCAAGTTTCTTCCAACCAATTTCCTTCCCAGCCGAATCCTGAAGCTTCCAGAGAAGATTGTCTATGTGCCCTGGTTGCCAGGCTTTAAAGCAAACCCATTTGAAATGTAGTTGGTTGTGATATTGCAAATTCTGTGTGTTAAAGTTGATTCACTTCAAATTCACTTTAGCTAAATGAGAATAAACCCAGAACAAACAAATGCCCAGCAGGCAGGATATTCCACAATGGCAAAAGACCAGTTTCCAGTGGCTTGCRCCATGAAATACAGAATATAAAACAGATTGCATTGACATAATTTGCTTAATTACAGGTAAGGAACTGATTTTCTGCATCCAGGAGGCACACTCTCAGATCTTGAAAGAAATAGCTTTGTATGGCTACATTAAACCTTTTATTCAAGAGCTATTAAACATTAAAGTTTTTCAACTTGTTGCAGCTTTGGCAAAGYAGTAGGTGAATATAATGACCTGCACACTGATCTTCAATGCCAGCTTGCCTGTTTGGGTTTGAAAAATTATGTAGAAAGGAAAAAAATTACATAACTAAGAGTCAGTATCTTGGAAATTTGTATCATCAAAACTCAATTTTATCTTTTAAGAAAACACCTACAAGCCAGTACTAAACCAGGGAAAGGCTGACATCAACACTCACACAGACATCAGTCCTGAGCAGCGGTGGATGAGCTACCTTTGTTACAGGACAAAGGAAAACTCAGAATTGCATCACACCCAAGCCTTTGCTCCACCTGAGCGAGGCAACTGTCGAGGAATAACTTTTTCTCTTTGGCTTATTTTTAATACAGTGCACACAGTTGCCCACAGGCCGAAGATGCCGGCGGCAGGCCGGGGCAGGTCATGGGCGACGAGCCGGGCGGGAAGAGWGGCCACTGGCACCTCCTGGGACCGGCTCCGTGAATCGTTCCTCAAGAACACCCGTGAATCCCCACACACCGCCCAACGCTGCCGCCCGGTCTGCGGTGTGGGCCGGCGGCCGTGCCCCCGGGGCGGGCGAGGCGGGCGGAGCGGGCGGAGCAGCGGGGCGGGCTGAGCAGGAGGGCGGGCGGGGCGGGCGGAACGGAGGAGCCGCGCCCCGGGGGCGGGTCCATCGCGCTGCCGCGGCCTCCGCGCTCCGCCCCGGGGTGGCGGCCGGAGGGCCGGCGGTGGCGCGGCGGCCGGAGGGTAAGAGCGGCCGGCCCTGGGGAGCGGGTGTGGGGTGCTGCCGGCGGAGGGCGCTCGGGGCCGGGCCGGGCGGAGGGGCGCGGTGTCCGCTCCGCCGGGGGAAGGTGCCGCGGCTGCCGGGGGCGGGACGGTTCCCGGCGGCTCCGCTGGGGCTGCCCGGAGCCCGCGGGCCTGCCGGGACGGGCGGGCCGGCCCTCGCTCCTCTCCGCTCCGGGCCCGGGGCGCCGGCGGGCTCGGCCGGGGCAGCTCGG